TTAAATGATAATGTTTTATGGTGATTCCATCATGGAATAGAATGACTATTTCTTTGGTTGGATGAAGGAATTGACATTTGCAGATTCTATAAGCATACCAAACAAGGGAACGAAAATACAAAATTAGAATGGACATTTCATTCGAACCTATTTCATCGTACCAAATGTGCTTTTAACTTACAAAAGTAATACAACACCTAACTTGAAATTTCATGATTAAAGGTCTTTAATGATAGAAAAATGCTTGACACATCTAATTTATCATTCTTTGAGACCATCCCTAATGATGTGTTTGACAATTGTCAAATTTTGATTTGTCAATCATTCCATTATGTGCGGTCTAACATCAATGTCAGATCATTAGGAGTTATTTGTGAGTGATAAATTAGAGAATGTAGAATTGTTTATAAAATAAAATATTTATTTATTTATTTTAGTTGTATATTATTACTCTTTTTGCAAGATGGAGGTATTTAATGATAACCCACACCAGTTTATAATATAAAATTTTATTTATTTATTTATTATTGGGGTTTATTACACTTTTTACCATCAACTATTGTCCAATTATCTATTTAGTCCCTAAGCTATTGATTAAGCATATTTAGTCCTTAAAATATACAAATCAAAACCTATTTAACACATAAACTATTGATTGAATCTATTACGTTTTTAAATTATTTAATTTAAACCTCACTACAACAAAAAGCAGTTTTGGCAACCAAAAATGTAAATTTCGTCGCTGAAAGTAGGACAATTGGCGACTAAAATTAAATTAGTAGCCAAAAGTCTTAGTGAAGACTTTTGGCGGCTAAAACAGTTTAGTAGCCAAATGTGTACTTATTGGCGACTAAAAATCAGATTAGTCGCTGATTACATGGGTTTTAGCGACTAAAACAATTTTAGTAGCCAAAGGTGAAGGTTTTTGGCGACTAAAAATGGTTTGGTCGCCGATTGTAGGTGTTTTACCGACAAAAAAAATGTTGTAGCCAAATGTAAAGGTTTTTGGCTACTAAAAAATTTTTAGTAGCTAAAAGTGGACAATTGGCGACTAAAATTGCGTTTAGTCGGCAAAAGTGGCGGTTTTGGCGACTAAAAATTAGTTTAGTCATCGAAAGTGGTTAGTTTTAGACGGAAATTAATTTTTTTAGCGACTAAATTATTGGTAGTAGCAAAAACTAAGGTTTTTGGCGACTAAAAACAACTTTAGTCGCCAAAAGTGGCTCCCTTTTTTTTTAATAATTAATTTATTTTTTACATAAATTAATATTGAATAAAAATAATCATATTTATATATATAGTTTTAAATTAATACGGGTCAATATACTATATAAATAATATATATTGCATATATATTCATGTGATCTTGTGGTGGCATAGTGGAGGGAGTGTGTTGGTAAAGGTGTACAAAGTAGAAGGTCCGTGGTTTGAATCTCAGAAAAAGCAAAAAGGTTGGTAATTTTTTTTTTCACGGAAGCACCTTTGGCGACTAAAATTATTAGTCGCCAAAAGTCTTTATTTTGGCGACTAAATGGTTTAGTCGGCGATTCAGTGAGTATTGGCAACTAAAGGATTAGTCGCTAAATGTATGATTTTGAAAAGTGTAAATCACTATTGGCGACTAAAATGCTGGTTGCGAAAGAGCTGCTTTTTGGTGACTAAAAAAGTTTTAGTCGCCAATACCTCTACCGACCATCTATAAGCGACAAAACCAGCGACTAAAAAAATTAGTCGGGGAAAGTAAAAAGTTGACTTTTGGCGACTAAAAACGGACTTTTAACGACTACAAATTTAGTTGCCAAAGATGCTTTTTCTTGTAGTGCCTATTTAGTCATTGAAAAAATTACAAGAATAAAATATAAAGTTTTATTAAAGAGTGCCCTGAGGGCACTTGATAAGAAACTTGAAATGCTTATACATTATGCATGAGAGTGCCTGTAATATGTAATAATACTTTGCTACAAATAATAATGAAACAAAATAATATATTAATTAAGTTATAAAAAGAACTTAGCGAAAAACTTAAAAGCAATAAATTAAAAATTGCAAACAAAATGTAGTATAATACTAAATAAAACAAAATGTAGTATAATACTAAATAAAGACAAGCACGTAGTTATTGTAAAAAGTAAGTAAGAAAATACCATAGATTACTCTAATAAAGAAAATTCACCCTAAGAACTGAATCTCACTTTTCAAAGACAAAAAGAAATTTATATTTTTTTTAAAATAAAATTTTAATTAGATTAGGCCTTTTGTTAATTTGTAATATTTATGCGCTTATATTTTATTTTTGTAATCCTTTTAGGAATTAAATAATTTTGAATTAAATACTTTAGGAATTTAATAGATTCAATCAATAGTTTAGGAATCAATAGTTTAGGGATTAAATAGATTTTGATTCATATACTTTAGAGACTTAAAAGACACAATCAATAGTTCAGGGATTAAGTAAACAATTTGAAAATAGTTTTAGGGGTTTAAAATGTAATAAATCCTTATTATTATTATTATTGTTGTTGTTGTTTGAATTGTTTAGTGTTACTCTTTTGTCTTAAACTCAACTTTTGATTGTATTTATTTATTTATTACAACTAAGTTTTGATTCATTTGAAAGACCCAATTTTTACCACAAAAATTCTGAGTTTCTTTGCTTGTCAAAGAGTGAACTTGGTCATATCACCTTAGTTGACTCCTCAAAATTATAATCACAATTGATAACGACATTATGAGTAATGTTAAGAATACAAAAAATTTCATTAAAAATTTTACTAAATATCTCAGATAGGAATCTCTCTAACATTTGATAGAAATTGTGGGGCTTCTAACATTTTTCAAGGCACTGTTGTCATCCAAATTGTTGCGAGTACTTTCAACTTCAAGGAACATCAGGATTTAGGTTTTTTCTATGCATTACCTACATCGTAAATCTTATAATTAAAAATAAATAAATAAATAAAATACGTGTAGATGTGAATGTGAAAATTAAAAATTTAATGAATTGTATTGAAAAAGCTCCATGGTGACCAATAAGAGAGAGACGTCACCAGCATGGTGGGGTTATTACTATAATTTATATTTTAAAACAGATCGAGGAGGGCTCATGTTAATTTTCCTTACTCTAACGTTAATCATATTAAACTCTTAATAAGATAATAATGCATTATGCTTTGTACTTTAATCACTTGTACTGATTTTTGTTTGAATGTGATTAATTTATTTGACACGTAACATAACCATTATTTATTTATTTTTTTAATACAACGTACCGTTATTTTAGGTTGATTACAGTGTTTTGTGGAATAATCGAAGTTTAATGTTCAAACAAGGGATCATACCAGAATTAATTGTATATTGTTTTATAAGAAGGAAATTCTTTTAATGAGCATTTTTCTCTACTTGTTTCATTTTTTATTGAAACTATATTTATGTTAATTAAATTATGTGATGAAATTGGGGGTTTGAACATCTGACAGTTTCTAATAATAGTTCAAAATTGAAATATATAGTTGAGAGGGATGTTGAATAATTATTAAAAATAGTTTATCGAAGTATAGAGAAATTTTCAACTGTAATCAAACTTTAAGAAATTTGAAAGTTATTTAAAGAAGACTCAGTGTTACACTACTTCAAAATAAATTCCAAAGGTTTGTGTTTTTTTTTTTTTTTTTGGTTACAGGAAAATCCTCCCTATCCTCCCTCAGGTCCAAGGCAGCGCCCCTTGCAGAGATCGCCAGGGTGTTCTGTTAGCCATTCCGAGCGAGGAGACTATAACCTGAGAACTTGCCCCGACCTCCCAAGACAAGCTCCGCTTAAGTCAGGACTCGCACAGCGGGGGAGCATTGAATCCACACCGAGTGCTAATTAGACAACTTGAGGTCCAACCTTCTAACCAACTGTGCTTCGCTCAGGATGTTAGAATATATAATATTTTATGTTAGTATAATATTATGTATAATATTATGTTTAGCTTTAGCTTTAATAATTAGTGTAGCTTTAGCTTTCATAATTAGCTTGCTTTAGCTTTATGCTTTCAGTGGCTCTCTCTCCAATGTATCACAGGCTATAAGAAGAGAGCTAAGCTCCCTTTGTAAATCAATCCATGAAATACACATTTCATTTATTCACTTGTTCTCTCTCTCTCTATCAATTTTATCTTACATGGTATCAGAGCTAGGTTAACAACCTAGTCATTTTGCTTCATCGGCGGGCGGCAGTCTCGCCTTGGCCGCCCGCCGGACCTCTACACATACCTTCACTCCGCTACCATAAATTCCATAACTGAACTGAACTGGTCTCTCTGAGGGAATAATCAACACCTTCACACCAGTGAGGCCGTGGATATGGATCGCAGGTCCGTCTATGTTGTAGCTTTATCTGCATTGTCGTCGCCGGCGTTGGAGGTCAATCTCCGGTCACACCTCCTGTGGTGTCCGCTCCGCCGGTTTCAGCTCCACCACCGGCCACTCCACCTCCGGCTACTCTATCACCAGCTACTCTGGCCGGCAACATTGCCTTCGCTGCTCGTTGGAGTTTTCAATACACACACAGCACACATAAAGCTACACACCATTCACACGGCGCACACACACACCATACACTCACCATGCACACTGGTACACTCAAGAAACACTCACACACAGGCACTGATCTCTCTCTCCACACACAGAACATCCACTCTCTCTCTCGGCTACATATACAGATACACACACACCACACGGGGGACACACGGACCAGACACACATGAAGATGGACAACAAAACAGAGCTCTCTCTTCTCTCTCTAAATTCCTAGGCTGTTCTCTCCCACCTCTCTCTCTCTGATCATACACAGACCCAGCATGCATGGATACTACCTACACACAACACCGTGCACACACATTCTGGGTTTTGACCATTGACACCATTGACTGCCACAGACTGAACAAAAAAAAAAAAAAAAAAAAAAAAAAAAAAAATCGTGTAAAACTTGCCCTATCCCTTTCACTCTTATTTCCCAACTCTCTTTCTCTCTCTCTCTCTCTCTCTCTCAAAAATCATACTGGTAATCTCATAAATTCTCCTCTCTCTCACTCGACTCTCCACTCTTTCTCGCTCGACTCCCACTTTGATGAAGACATGAAGATTTTGATCGATTGTTGATGAAGATTTGAAGATTTCGATCTGCTGTTGATGAAGATTTGGATCGATTCATAATCGGTAAGCCTAATTTCTATGTATGAATCCAACTCTTTGTCTCTGTAATCCCTGTGTCATTCTTTCAGCTCCCAAATTCTCTTCGACTCATAGCTTTGTTCGATTTCGAAGATCAACATCAACGGTAACAACATGAATTTTTTCCAATTCAATTTATTATTATCAATGCGGTGCAGATTCTGATTTCGAAACATCTTTTTGATTCGAAGATTCATTTTATTTTTTATTTTTATTTTTTTAGATTATTAAATCTTGATTTGCTTTGGCTTTAAAACTTGATCTGAGCATTTCTCTAGATTGTTTGCTAAATTTCATTTAGTTTTTGAACCTCTTGTTTGTATGCTAAGAAAATTTTAGGAACCAACCGAATTTCAAACTTTTAGTATTATGCTTTTATGTTTGTTTGGCTAGAAAACTGAAGCTCACCTCAATTAAGGTAAAATATATATATATTTGTTTTCCTGTGTCTATGTTACATTTTCTTAGCAACCAAACAGAGCATAATTTGGTTAATCTTTGAATGATTTTTCTAGTTTATAGTCTTGTTGTTCTACTTTGAATTCTTCTTGGTTACATGTTTTAGTCGTAGTTGATTTCTATATTGCTCTGTTTAATTTTGATTTCAAGCTCTCTCTGTAGTTTTCAATTTCAATTTAGTTTGAGGAAGCTCAGAAGTAATTTAGATCTTGAATTAAATGATGAATTACTTGGTACTGATATCTTTCTCTCTCGTTTTTGAATTTGAATTCGATTCATATGGCTAAATGCATAGAGTATTGAATATTTGAATGTGTGTATCTATTGTCTTGCAAACATCTTCGTGTCACAAATAATAGTCATAAATAGGGAGATATTGATGTTTGTGGTTTGTTGAATTGAAATGTTTCACTATGAAGTGATAGATTTGGAATTGGTATAAAAAACAACAGGTCAAAACTTGGGCCCCAGTGCAAGCTTGGATTTGAGGAACATATATTTTCCGTAGAGAAATCTTTTCTTATTGTTAGTTCTCTTGCATATCTGCATGTGTTTATTCTTCGTAGAGAATTTTTGCATGTGATATTTCTGTAGTTTTCTTGATACCACAACTGTTAAATTTAACTAAAGCTTGTTGAAGTCAATGCTCATACTTGGGCAGATTGATGTTCTGCTTTGGCTTCATTTCTGTGAATATTTTATCTCTGGAAAAATCGTGATAAGTGGACAGAAAGAATGATAGTGAGAATTTATGCTGACCTGCTTATTTAGAGACCTATTTTGCCTTAAAGAAACATACATTAGAATTCTTAAATTATATTGAATTCTTCTGTCTTTATCGAATGATAAAATTGTGCCCCAGATTCCTCTTCTAGAATTCAAAATATAAAATGATCATTAGATCTTCATTGGTCTCAACCTTCCAAGTCCAAAACCAGAAGGTATTATAAGTTGACATTACTACTGCCATTATTGTTGCCACCATAATTACTGTTGTTGCTTCTTAGATGCCCATGTCACTGAAATAGGGCTTCTAACCCTGGAAAGACCTTTGTCAAAGTGCACCCATATCAAATGCCCTTGAGTAGAGCTCATATTTTTGTTGTTATTTTCTTCCTTGAAATAATCCAAACTCTGTAACTCAACT